AAAAAAAACTCCTATAAAGAGTAACAGTCTACTTATTATATCAGCAAAATTTGACTTGTTAGTAGGTCTCGTCTTACTTATCATTTTTGATTATTTAAGTTTCTATCTATCTATTATAATTAATATCATGCAAGGAAAAACGCCAAAAAAATTGTAAAAATCATAATTAAAAGGCAATAACTCCAATAAGGAGTCGTTGGACAATTTCTGCCATTTGTCTTAATTGTAGATTTTGTATTGCTGATCATTTTTGTATATTTAAGTTTCTTTCTATCTATTATAAGTTTTAAGATATAATACAAAAACGCAAAAAAAATTGTACAAATCGGCTTCAAAGGGAAATAACTCTAATAAGGAGTCAACTGATGATTTCAACCATAGGACTTATTTGAAGAACTTGTCCTTCTGATCATTTTTGCAGTTTAAAGTTTCTCTCTATCTTTTATAGTTTTCAAGATATGATAATAGGCAAAAATCGAAAAAAAGTGGTAAAATTTGTCATTTAAGGGCAATAACTCCTACAGGAAATTGTCTTACAGTTTTGACGTATATGGATAATTGGTAGAGCTCAACATTCTGAACAATTTTACCCGCTTCAGATTTCCTCTTTTTATAACGGTTATCAGAATAATAGACAAAACTTGCATTTTACCCCATATGTTCTATTTTTTGCCATGTCGGCCATCTTTGTTGGCAAGCAGGGTCATCGGACACATTTTTTAAACTGAATACCCTAATGATGATTGTGGCTAAGGTTGATTCTATTTGGCCCAGTAGTTTCAGAGTAGAAGATTTTTGTAAAAGATTACAAAAATTTACGAAAATTGTAAAAAATTGACTATAAAGGGCAATAACTCCTTGAGGGATCAATTGACAATTTTGGTCATGTTGACTTATTTGTAGATCTTACTTTGCTGTACATTATTGCTGTTTACAGTTTATCTCTATCTATAATAATATTCAAGATAATAACCAAAAGCTGCAAAATTTTCTTAAAATTACCAATTCAGGGGCAGCAACCCAACAACGTGTTGCCTGATTGGTCTGAAAATTTCAGGGCTGATAGATCTTGACCTAATGAACAACTTTATCCCGTCAGATTTGCTCTAAATGCTTTAGTTTCAGAGATATGAGACAAAAACTGCATTTTACCCTATGTACTATTTTTTAGCCATGTCGGCCATCTTGGTTCGCGGGCGGGGTCATCGGACACATTTTTTAAACTAGATACCCTAATGATGATTGTGGATAAGTTTGGTTAAATTTGTCTTAGTAGTTTCAGAGGAGAAGATTTTTGTAAAAGATTACAAAAATTTACGAAAAATAGTTAAAAATTGACTAAATTTGGTCAAGTTGACTTATTTGTAGATCTTACTTTGCTGAACATTATTGCTGTTTACAGTTTATCTCTATCTATAATAATATTCAAGATAATAACCAAAAACGGCAAAATTTCCTTAAAATTACCAATTCAGGGGCAGCAACCCAACAACGGGTTGTCCGATTCATCTGAAAATTTCAGGGCAGATAGATCTTGACCTGATAAACAATTTTACCTCATGTCAGATTTGATCTAAATGCTTTGGTTTCAGAGATACAAGCCAAAATCTACATTTTACCCCTATGTTCTATTTTTAGCCATGGCGGCCATCTTGGTTAGTTGGCCGGGTCACCGGACACATATTTTAAACTAGATACCCCAATGATGATTTTGGCCAAGTTTGGTTAAATTTGGCCCAGTAGTTTCAGAGGAGAAGATTTTTGTAAAAGTTAACGGACGACGGACGCCAAGTGATGAGAAAAGCTCACTACCTAAAAATGCTTATTTTTGGCCCCTAATTCCTTAACTGTTGGTACCATAATCCCCAAAATCAATCCCAACCTTCGTTTTGTGGTATTGAACCTTATGGTAAAATTCCATAGAGATCTATTCACTTAAACTAAAGTTAGAGTGCGAAAACCAATGTCATACCGGTACCAATATACGACCGAATTTTTTTTTTTGCGGTCGTATAAAAATTGGTAAAAATTGTCATTTGAAGTTAATTACTCATATAAGGGATCGACTAGCAATTTCGGTAATGTGGACTTATTTGTAGGTATTGTCTTACTGATCATGAATTAATTAAAGTTTCTCTTTATCTATTATAATTTTCAAGATAATCGGCAAATGTGAAAAAAATAATAGGAAAAATCGTCATTAAAGGGCACTAACTCCTATAAGAAGTCATCTGAGTTTAGGTGTAAATGGACAGTAAGTAAAAAAATAATCATTCTGAACACTTCAGATTTTCTTCATCTTTAGCGGTTTTCAAGATATTCTGAGACTACCATACCTGCAAACTGTCACTATGATCGGGGGATTTCCCCTATGGAAGCTCCCTAATGGAAATTTTGAAAGAGCAATTTTGTCCACAATTTAAAACAAAACAATCAATTTTACCATGGGTATAGAATTGTAGAAGTATGAAGAAGCAAATAAACAACATTAAAATAAATTTGAAGGCCCCTTTAAATGTTTTGTAGGACTGTGAGAGCCATCTTGCACATAAAACCCCCATGGGCATTTTGAAATGTTGGCAGGTATGGACTACTTTAACACATATATGTGTTATAGTAGTCTCAGAGATAATAGACAAAAACTGCATTTTTCCCCAATGTTCTATTTTTAGCCATGTCTGCCATTTTTGGTTGGCAGGCAGGATCATCAGACACATTTTAAAACTAGATACCCCAAGAATGATTGTGGCCTAATTTGGTTGAATTTTTGTAAGAGTTTCAGAGAGGATTACTGAAAAAGTTCATAGATGGCAGAAGCCAAGCAATGAGAATAGATCACTTGGCCTTTTCGGCCAGGTGAGATATAAAGTGTGGAAAACTGAGCCTTTGAAGCAATTTTCTATTTCCAAGGGCCAAAACTTGAGCAATATCTCTCACAGTAACTTTATTCAAACTCTATCTGTGAGATCTAATGATATGACTGTCTACCATATATTTAATCAATTTATTCAGGGATTACACAACTAGAGGCTTTAAAGAGCCTGTGTCGCTCACGTGCATCTTCAACAATAGCCATTTTTTGGTAAAAATCATCATGAAAGGGCAACAACTCTATAAAGAGTTAACTGGCAATTTCAGCCATGATGGCTTATTTGTAGATCTTGTCTTGCTGATCAGTTTTGCTATTTCAAGTTTCTATCTTTCTATTATAGTTTTCAAAATAGTTAGCAAAAATGCAATAAATTGGTAAAAATCGTCATTCAAGAGCAATAACTTCAATAAGGAGTCAACTGACGATTTCTGTCATGTTGATTTATCTGTAGATCTTGTTTTGTTAATCATTTTGGCCTATTAAAGTTTCTTTCTATCTATTAAAGTTTGTAAGATATAAGGCAATAAATTGCTTCGCCGAGCGCAGCTGGATACGACCGCAGAGGTCCAACCCTGAACAGTTGAGGCAAAAATGGACACAATATTTGCGCTTGATACAGGTCTGAATTTGGATTGTAATTAAATATTTGACACATAATAGGGTTCAGACACAGAATAACTGTAGTCAAAGAACTTAGAATTGGTTATATGATTTGAATTTATATTCAATTTTTTGCTTTTGTGCAATACACTTTGCTGTTGCGAATTGACCCCCCCTCCCCCCACAAAAAAAATAAAATTACCCCCCCTTTTTTTGCTTTTGTGTAATACACTATGCTGTTGCGTATTGAACCCCACCCCCCCCCCACACTTTTTTTTTGCCAAAAAAATAATATTTAAAGAATTTTTCTTTTTATTTTCTGAAATCTGAAATGAGAAAAAATTGACCCCTCCCCCACAATTTCTTTTTACCTTCCCCCCTTCCCCCAAATTTTGTTTTCACCTCTCCCTCCTCCCTTTCCCCCCCAAAAAAAAATTCTTTCCCTCAAGATATGGTCATAATCTCAATTCAAATTTCCAATGGAGTTTGCAACCGTAATTACCCATTTAAATACATCATAAAAGTCTTAAAATAGAAAATGACATACATAATCATGGCTTAAATTAATATTCCTTAATAGTAACTTCTAAAAATAAATTGACAGCTAATCATCTAAAGACAATACAACATTTCTTTATACATAATTTAAAAGCAGTGTAAGGGAGGTAATCAAAATGTTGTTTGGATTACCTCCCTTACACTGCTTTTAAATTGTCTTCAGTAATTGTCCATTAATCAGGAAACCCTTGTTTTTCCCCTTTTTTGCCCCTAATTCCTAAACGGTTTGAGCCATAACACCCCAAAGCCAATCCTAACCAACCCTTTGTGGTATGGAAGCTTGTGGTATAATTTCAGAGAGATCCATATACCGTTCCGCAATTTATTGTCTGGAAACTAGAAAAATGCTTATTTGGGCCCTTTTTTGGTCCCTAATTCCTAAACTGTTAGGACTATAACCCCCAAAGTCAATCCCTACCTTCCTTTTGTGGTTATAAACCTAAAATCTAAAATTTATAAAAAACGAAAGGGAGCTCAGGTCAATAGATATAAACAATTCACCAAAGTTTTATGCAAATTGGTTAAAGCGTTTTTGAGTTAATGTCCGACATGTTGACAACGGAAGGACGGACGGACGGACAGACAGACAGACACACACAGTATACCATAATACATCCCATAAAATGGTGTATAAAAATGTGTGAAAAACTTAATAAACAGACTCATTGACTAAGTGCAAAACTATACTCCTCATTCACCTTGACCAGTAGAGGACTGTTTAACTATAATCAAGGTACTGTAAAAATCGATCAAGTAAACCTCTATTTGAATTTGGTTGGAGGAGAAGATCTTTAAAAGGGTTGCGGATGACTGATTATATGATAAATGCCAAGCAGTATATAAAATCTCATACTTGGCTTCCACCAGATGAGCTTTTAAATAATCTGACCTGAATAAATCTACTTACAGCAGACATTTGCAAATACTTGCCCAACAAGCCTCCACTAGTCAAATAATACAATTTCATTACTCAATTATTAAATATTTTTAATATCTTAACATTATAAAATCTAACAAATAACATAACATCATCAACATACTATTATATACAATATTGCACTGATTCCAATTCTTTAATGGAAGATTCATACACATGAGTACTCAATCATAAAATAACCAATTCATCACATTTACTAACTCCACTTTGATTCATTGTTATCACATTTCATGAAAATATAAAGCCTCTTTACAATTATCTATAAAACAACTGCTGTGTCCATAAGACAACAACACAATGAGACGAATTAAAAAGACTTAAACATAGTCTTTTCAACAAAAATTTATTTGTGAGTTAAATTTGCAGACAGAGCTAAATTAATCTTCATTAGATTTATAAGCTCTGATAATGTCTTTGATTGGGGCTCTGCACACTGGACATTTAGCATTACGTGACATCAGATGGCGTCCACAAGCATAACATACACACATATGCCCACACTGATACAGCACAGAGTCAGAGTGATTGTCCAAACAAATTAAGCAATGAGTGTCACTGACTGGTTTACATTTTTTCAGAGGACTTCCACCTTCAGCTCCAACTGGAAGAAACAATGATAATCTTATTTAAAACTGAAAGTTTTCATCAATCAAAATACAAGAGTAACAACAGTCATTTCTCACGTATACTACGTATACACAGAACTACATATACACTGTAGTTTTTGTGGTGATTTTCATTTGGTTGTTTTAACAATGGAATTATCCTTAACCTTCTGATTCTGAATGGCAAATTTTCATCTGTCTTGTGAATTGCAGTATTTAAATTAATGGGAGATAACTTCTTTTCTGTTCAGTCAAATATGGAAAAACATCGGCCAACAATTTTATTTCTTTAACAATCAACCTTTTGAGACTTAAATCTCAAATTAAGAAATCTACTTATTTATATCATCATGGATGAACTCTAATGGATATACAATTAAAAAATTGATTTTTGAAATAATTACCTTGAACTTGTGCTAAAGCTGCAGAAACTTCTTGTCTGATTGCCCTCTGTATGTCAAGTTGAAGGTCAAAACTAAGTTTCATCATATTCTTCATCTCTTCTAACTGGCTCTTTAAACTATGTATTTCTCTGCTCATGTGCAAGTTAGACTAAAATAAAAACAAACCATTACAAAGAGAAGAACACACAGCCAAGTTACAATGACAGACACAAAGCTTTTAAAGATTAACACACAGCCAAGTTACAATGACAGACACAAAGCTTTAAAGGTTAACAAACAGCCAAGTTACAATGACAGACACAAAGCTTTTAAAGATTAACACACAGCCAAGTTACAATGACAGACACAAAGCTTTTAAAGATTAACACACAGCCAAGTTACAATGACAGACACAAAGCTTTAAAGATTAACATTGATTAACATTTTATTTATGGTAGGAAATTCCAGTCATTATAGTTTTAGTACAACAGGAAGATATAAATAAAAGGTATGAGCTGTAATTATTGGCTTTGATGTTAGTACATTGTCCATATATTGGTAGAAAATGTGAAGTTCTAGTTTTAACTACAATGTTAAATGTTTGTGATAGTAATCACATAATACAAATAATATCTTTTATTTAAAAAGGTATCCTTTTATGAGTAACATTTACCTGTTCATAAGATGAAAGACAGAAAGGGTCCAAGTCTTTTCAAAGCTGTCTCAGTAATGTTTTAATTGAGTTCATATTAATGAAACATAGAAATCTTAAAATGAAATATTATAATTACCTGTGTATAGGGAACAGCATGAGCACTAACACTGGTAATCGAGATATTATCCCAGTTATCGTTTCCTGGTGGTGGAAGTCCAATGTTGGAGAAATCATTTCGTTGGATGGGTTGAGTTGGATGAATATTTCTAACAAACTCTTGAACTCTTTGGCCATCAGTGTCAGTCTGTCCAAGTCTGTCCTGAAAAGTTAAGAAAACTCATTTTAGTATGATCTTACACCTCTGATTTCATCTATAAAAGCAAAACTAAACTACAAGTGCTGAAATCTAAGTCATTTAATATCTGGTGATAAGTTGTCTCATTGGTAATCATACCACATCTTCTTATTTCTATATCATTTTCAATTAAATCACATTGCATTAGCAATAAAGTTGGTGTAAGAAATTTCTTAACCTTAATGAAAATACTCAATGCTTTTAAATGACCTTTGTTTTTTGTGTCACTTAGTTGATGTCTCATTGACTAATACCCACATCTCTTTCTATTGATTCATACATTTGTATTTCTTATAATACATGAAAAACTAAGTTACATTTAGGCATGTACCTGCATTGTAATTTCCAGAACATTTCTAAATGTGCTCTCTAAAGATGATGTTACCAGTTGCCTATGAACTAATTCGCTGATTTCTTGAACAACTGTTTCCCTGTGCAGGTTTTCCATGTCCTCCAAAGTCACAGGTACTAGATTTGATCTGATAAAAATATTTAAACATTAATAGAACATTGAACAACAAACATATTAATGTTACAAAAATTGTGTGTGTAATGCTTTTTCAACTGATCTTTACTGATAGAATGTATGACCTTTATAGTACATGTACATATATCTATGGTTGTGTTGTTGAATTACTTTTATCATAACCCACAACTCTGTTTGTTTATACTAATCTAAATTTAAATTAAAAACAACCTTACATTTGATATATTCCCTATAATGAGCATACAGCTTTTGAAAAAATAATTGATGAAAGTATGCTCTTGATACTTGTTATAAATGGTAATCAATTCTCACAGTTTGAATGATAATAAAAAGAGAAAGAGAGCCACACACAAAGCAGAGGAGTTATCTTCCCTTTCAGCATACTATTTTTATCCAGAGTTTGTATAACCTATATTAACAATATATATTTGGACATTTATTTGTTCTTGGATGTTCTTTTGTCAATAAACTTACCCTCTATACTCTTGTGGAACTAAACGTTCAACATATGGAGGAATAGGTGGGTTTACTGGAGTTGTTTCATTCTCAGCTGAAATTGTACGATAGAAATTGTAAAGAAAGCTTCATACATTATTTAAATTATCACATAGTAAAAAGTATAAAATATGTATTTTTATCGGCTATAAATTCCAATCAATTATAGGATGTAATCAAATTCTAGTATCTTTCTTTCCATTCCAACATAATTACACAATAGTAAAATATTTTTCATTTGTAAATGCAAAAAAGCAGCAATCATCATTGAATCATTATTCTTGAGTGTATATTTAATGCCATAAGAGCTTCAAAGTTTCTGTTTCTTCCTGATTTAAAATCAATGATATTTGTTCTTAGAACAATGCAGTTACATGTGTATGTAAAATAACAGAAATAAAATGGAACATACAGGAACTATTGCTGTTTGTACTAGCAAGACTGTTACTTCTACTACGATCCTCAACATGTTGTGGTATGGCAGTATTTCTCAGTCGAGGTTGTGGTACTGGTGACTGACTTCCAGACGTAGGAGTTGTTGTACTAGACCTTGGTGCTGGTACAGGGGATTGACGTTCTGAATTTTGTGGAGTAGGGGAAGGTCTTGCTGAACTTTGTGGTGAAGGCCTTGGAGAATTATTTCTGGTGACAGATGAAATTGACCCTCTGATTATGTTTTCAAGTCGACGTCTAAAATTTGTTGTCAAAACATTGGAAACTCTATGCTGTTCTACTAATCCTTGGATTTCAACAACCACTGTGTCTGGTCTATGTTCTTCAACATCATCTACATTTACTGGAACATTTTCTTTTCCTTGAGCTGCAGCTTGGGCATCCAGTCTTTTGGCAAAAAATGAGTTGATGTTATCCCTTGAATCTGTTCCTGTAACAGGTCGCTCACCATGCTGTATCTGTCTCAGTTCATTCATCCTATCACTGTAAATAGAAGTATGTCACATATTTTATACAATCATCAATTCTGTAAAACAAACTCAATACATATAAATGTTTTGTATTTACCCTTAAATTTATTGTCTGTAGACTACAAGCAATAAAATGATAAAATCCTCAGTCATGTGTATTCAATATTTATATTTTAAATTTAGAAATCAACAAGTAGTATTTTACAATCTTTAAAAATTTAAGTTTTGTATACATGTAGTAATTTTCAGTTAAAAGCATGCATATGTACCAATAAAAAAATCTATAGTGAATTTAGTGATTAATTTATAAAGAGTTATATCTAAATCTTTGATAATATATAATACTGAAAATATTTTATCATTGTATTCTGTTTAAACAGAACATTTTGTTTCATGTATATGAATGTACCTTTTGAGTCTTAAAAATAAATAATTCATTTTCTGTGTATTTTATACCAGAGACATATATACATGTGTATATATGTCTCTGTTTATACATATTAAGGAAGAGTGAATTTTGCCATCTGAGGAGCATGTGTATTTGCATCACATCACTTATAATACTAAATACATGTATCCTATAACCTGTTAGGCACTTAACATTCATTTTTTTGGAGGGGACATGTTATTTTTTTTTAAATAAATGGTTGGATTCAAATTTCTTGAAAAAAAGTTATCAAGTGAAGAAAATAGATTGTTTCCATTGAAAATTAGTGGGAGGGAATATATATGATTTGGTTTAAAAAATTTATATAGTTCCTCAACTTCCTGTACATAATAGAAAAAAAAAATAGTTTGTTACAAGAAAGAAACCTATGCCAACCACAAAAGATAAATGGTTGGTGCTTTAATAAATTATATTGATGTAACAACCCCAAAATGGTGAATTGTTCCCCAAATGAGTAACTATCCCTTAAATGAGAGTTATTTATCTAGAATTAAAAAAAAAACTAATTATATACTTGAAATGGCACAATTACATCATGAAAAATGCAGCAGATTTTCCAAAAGATGAATAGTCCTAACCTAAGTTTACTGAGAAGTTAAAAGCGAAAACTACAAAAAAATAAGCAATTTTAAAAGGCTAGAATTTTTTTTTAAACCCAAAATAAAAATATGGTTCTTGGGAAGAAGTTGTTTCATTTTTTTTAAATTGTGCCAATTTAATTTTATAATAAAAGACTCCGCTAAGAAAATTTTGTATAGCACTATCAAATGATTACATAATTGAGGGATTATTACTTATTTGCAGAATAGTTCCACATTTAGCGGGTTGTCCCCAACCTAGGGAAGTGTGAAACCCAGTGACCAGGGGCGGATTCAGGTGGGGGCGTGGCGGCCATGCGCCCCCCTTAGAATTTGCAAAGCATTGGTTGTCCTCAGCTTAATAAAGATTATTTCGATAATTTAAACTAAAAAAAATTTCAGTTTGCACAACCCCCCCCCCCCCCCAACCTAAAATCCTGGATCCGCCCCTGGTGACAGTCAAAATCAATATCCAGTCAATTTGTTGCACGTTTAATTATTAAACATTTTTAAATTAAAAGTTGTATTACTGATTCCATTTCTATTACTTTTCTATGGTGTTACACAGGGCTTTGTACGCTTTCCCTTTACCCTTAAATTCTTATTTATGAAAAGTATAAGATTTGTAAAATAAATGATATACTGTTCAATACCTTTTCATTTTCTGTAAAAGTTGATGCATCGATAAGTTGAAGCATACATAATTGAGGGATTATTACTTATTTGCAGAATAGTTCCACATTTAGCGGGTTGTCCCCAACCTAGGGAAGTGTGAAACCCAGTGACCAGGGGCGGATTCAGGCGGGGGTGTAGCGGTCGTGCCCCCCCCCCTAGAATTTGCAAAGCATGGGTTGTCCTCAGCTTAATAAAGATTATTTCGATAATTTAACCTAAAAATAAACTTCAGTTTGCGGACCCCCCCCCCCCCCCCTAACCTAAAATCCTGGATCCGCCCCTGGTGACAGTCAAAATCAATATCCAGTCAATTCAAATTAAAAGTTGTATTACTGATTCCATTTCTATTACTTTTCTATGGTGTTACACAGGGCGTTGTACGCTTTCCCTTTACCCTTATAAATTCTTATATATTTATGAAAATTATAAGATTTGTAAAATAAATGATATACTGTTTAATACCTTTTCATTTTCTGTAAAAGTTGAAGCATCGCGACATCTTCGGTCTCTTCGTGGCTTGCCATCGTGTCTTCTTCGGCGTTACTCTTTGTCTCTATGTTTTGTCCACCTTCTGCCATGTTGCTATATACCCTAGTTATGTTTACTTTCTATTTTTAACCATGACATGGATTTTATTTTCGTCGAAATTAATCATAGTTCGTGGAAGGCTTACCTGGTCAGTACCTGGAATTCGTTCGTACGTTTACTAGCGTTTCCCATGTAAAATTAAGTAAAAGTCATCGATTCCGAAAGACTGGGGAAAACCCGCGGAGTGTCTTTTTACCTCACAGAATACCACATAAAACTCAAAATCAAGAGCGCAGCTGCCGTTAGTATATATTTGCCACTGACTGGACGTTTAGCAATCAATTAATCAATCAGCTAGCTTTCAGTAACTTGGAGTACTCTCAGATCAACGTGTAATGACCATAATTATTCAAATTCCTTAGGTAGGAATTTTACAGTGCAGGATATCAGAAAATATAAATTTCTTGAATTTTGTTAGATAGTATAAACAGAACCGAACTTCTGGCTTCATTAGGCATCGACTGTGTGTGTATGTGTTTGTGTGGCCGGGGAGGGTGAAGGTTTAAGAATCAAAAGATGAATGGTCAATGCCTAGCTCAAAGGATAGTATTATTATATAGTAGTCTTAGTGTATACGTGCCTATATTTTAATGAAGGATCGTCAAAATGTACTATCAATTGACGTATATATATATCAATTATCCTCAACCAGAAAGGAATAGATATGAAAATACTAAACTGACAGGATGTACTGCTTAATTAAAGGGCTACGCTGATCTACGCTGGGCAATGCATATTGTAAATATTTTTATATAGATTTCCGATTGTACTGCGTAAATTCATCAGTCAGATGTTATTATAAATCTATTTATAATTCTTTGAACTTTTCTTCATGTATAGTATGAAAAAATTACCAGTAAATTTTATGTTTTTTTTGTACACAAAATTTTGCAACAAAAATGCTGAAAACCGTTTTCCGTCGGGGCTTCGCCCCTCTGAACTCCCTACCAGGGCTCTGCCCTTGACCTGCTGGGGGCCTTGAGCAGCCCCCAGACCCCCTGCCGCAATTTGTGCCTACAGTTTATTGGATACCTAGCTACGCCCCTGAAAATATACCACAGAACTACACAAATTACAATAAAACTTCTGAAATATACCACAGAACATTAAAATTACTTTATAAATGCAAATCTAATAATTCAGAATTATATTATTTCTATAATTCGGGTTACACCAATGACATGACGATTGACTGGACGAGATAAAAATGATCATAACTTTTTTGTTATTTGACATCTTTTACATTTGGAGACCTTTGAGACACTATACTAATGCATTTAATAATGAAAATCTAAAATAAACATTTAATAAAAAAATAGTTTTGAGCAAAAAAAAATTACCGCACGGTTTTCACAGTCGCTGATCAATATATACGCATTGAATATATAATGAACTGATCGATAAAAAGTGTTAATATCTCTTTTATTTTACACTATTTTTTCGTGAGATTAAGAAATCTGCGAGTTTATTAAATATGTTGTTTAGCAATAAAAACTATATATAAATAAAACATGTCACAGTTTTCTACAAAAAAAGTTGATCTGACGGATTTTACCAGCGAATATTACGTTACGAATAATATTGATCTGATCGACAGAAAGTGCTAATATCGTTTTTTTTTTTAAATATTTTTTCATTGAATTAAGAAATCTGCAAGATTAATGAATATTTTATAGGAAAATATAACCTTTATAGTAAAAAAATGTTTTCGTACAAAAAAAAGTTTGGATTCTAGTTGCCACCTGATTATATATGGTCATTCAATTAAATGTATTTGATGTCTCAGGTGTGAAAACTTAAATGACATGATAATTGGTGACTGCGACAAGTGTCAAAATTGGTCAATCTAATTAAATTTTGGTACTTTAATGTGTCGGTGAACTTGCTAAGATCCAGTGGCGGATCCAGAAAATTTCATAAGTGGGGGCCCACTGACTGCCTAAGAGGGGGCCCGCTCGGGTCATGCTTCAGTGATTCCCTATATAATCAACCAACTTTTTCCCAGAAAAGGGGGGGGGGGCCTGGACCCCCTCTAAATCCGCCTCGGAGATCGTTTTTCCCAGAAAAGGGGGGGGGGGGGGCCTGGACCCCCTCTAAATCCGCCTCGGAGATCGACACTAATTTTGGACTCCAAAAAGATAGAATCTATATGTAAATGTTACATATACCAGTTTTTTCGATATAAAGGTTCAGTTCAACGATTTCTAAATGCATACAAAATTTGGTATAGATCCGAAATATTGTCAAATGACTAGAGAAGATACACACACAACATAAGGGGACGACCATTTGATATTCTGGGGGGGGGGGCCAGGAGGATTTTGAAAATAAATAACTCAGCCTTGATAATCACAAAAATAAATGGTTTGTTCTGTGGTAGTTTGAAAATAAATAACCTGACTTGCAATGTATTAAAAATAAATAACTCGGCAGGTCTATTTGAGAGCATGAGATTGCACCAGATTCTTCATAAAATTCAACTTTTTTTTCAAAAAAAATCGGGAATCACTTCCCAAATCTTTGAATAATAAAAGTATAAATATTATTTAAAATACTTGAAATGTCTGAAAAATGGGTTTCATTTAACTTGAGGTATATTGTCTCAGGAACACTTAACTCACTTTTATTACATATGGCAGTAACTACATTCAGGCAAATGTCTCATGTAGGAAATTTCAAAACCAAAAGCTTGTCTTCATATCAAATTGTTTTCACGGCAAGTGTCTTGCAAGAAGCAAGTTCTGTTCTCCCTCAGACGTAGCTCCTGTTTTTTGGGGATCAATGTTTCTTATTTATTTGTCTTTTGTTCATTGATTGCCCTTCTGTATTCTGTTAGTGTTGCATTCCTTTTGTAATTTAGTAACTTTGTTATTAACTTGATCAAGAGTTTAAAAAAAACCCAGCAGCCACATATTTAACTATGTGAATTAAATTTTTGCTTTATCTTTGTCTTTTGATGTTGTTCCTAAAAACTTAAGTCTTACACTGAATCTATACATGTTGCTTTGAGACCAAAATATTGTCAAAAAATGATTAAAACAGAACTTTCATTTTCAGATTAAGAAAGGGTATGGGAAACACATTTTGCATCAATAGTTCTATAGCAACTTGGGGCGGTTCATTCCTCCTATTCCCACTTTTTATAAATCTGGTAAGAAAAGTTAAAATTTCATGTGGGAATAGGGAGAAAACTTGTGCAAACAAAGGATTATACTGTATAAACATTATTTAATCAACTTTAAATTGACAAGTGTTTTTTTGATAGGTTATAGGTTATTTTTGTATGTGTTAAATTCTGTGTTTTTAATTCAAATTAATATGAAAGAAATGGAAACAAATATAAGTAAATTTATTTTATTTCTTTTATAACACAAATTCAACAGTAGATTCAAGCAAGCATTATAATATGAAACACACAATACAAGTTTACAGCACTAAAACAAATCACACATTGTAGCACACACATTAGAAATTCACTGTATATAAGTCTATTAATGTTTAATAATCTATTCAACGCGAATAAGGTGGGAGGCTGCATCACCAAACTGTACTGTTGTAACTTCATAGTTGCAATATCTATCCATAAGCTCTTCTAATCTGTTGTTGATTTCGACATACTTTCGTTTTTGGGCCACTCTCTTCCCATCGGCTGCATACTGGATCATGGTCAGGGATTAGCTTCCTCATGTTTCAGTAGTTTTATGAGTTTAAAGATGCTTGGATGTGGGTGCTGGACATGTTTTATCAGCTTGCTTTGCCATCCCTCTAGATGATGTGTAGTCCTCAGTCCCTGTGTTGTGTAATGGTCTCATCAGTATTTTGTTACATAGTCTGTAAAGGGCGTGTAGTTGCTGTTAGTATCAATCTGATCTATGTCGATTAGGGCATTGAACCACACAGCTTTGACCTCAGCAGTAGGTAAAAGTGGAAGGACAGCGGCACGGCGTTCTATTTGATGAATGTTGTTGTCTTTCTTGTATGGAACCCGAATCCCCGCTCCTTGTGCTTTTCTCCAGATGCATTGTGTATAATGGAAAAAACAAACATCTTCGAGTAAAGTCAGGAACCTTGTGTATACATTTTTTTTGTACTAGTTCGCTCTTGGCTGGAATTAAACTGTGTACCAGTGGATACATTGCACCTTCAACCATTGTGTGAAATGTATAAAGTCTGTGAAATTTTCTTTTCGTCGAAAGTAACCGATAGGGGAGAATCTGATATTAATAAATTTTCGTCAATATTTATGATTAGGTTTTTAACTTCTTTTTCAAGTTCACCATTTTCATTTTGAAAGGAACCTATGGAGTTAAAATGGTGGGAAAGGGCATTATTTCTCTCATCCGTAGCCGTTTATATTTTATCAAAATCATGTGGATCATTAAGCTCTATATGTCCTATATCGGTTCGTTTTATTTTAAGGAAATTCCAAAACCCTTTCATTTTATTTTTTGCGTTTATACATTGTTCATTAAACTTTCGGATTTTAGCTGACCGTTCTTTTCTTTTGATGGCCTCTTGTACTTGTGCTTTCCGATTAAAATAGAAATTTAGGTTTACAAATTCAATGATTTTTTAATCTTACTTTTGTTTATCTGATTTATTCTTTATTTTAAGGTAATTCTTTGAATAAGAAAAAAAAATGTTATAAATAAACAGTGGATTAATTTTTTTTTTCAAAATATACTTAAACAGTGAAAGAAATATGTGTTCTTTCAAAAAAAATACAGGTAAATCTTAGGTCAATTATAAATTAACCTTGATTGTTATAAAAACAAATTATTTATCAAAACATCTATTGTTATTTTCATGTGGGAATAGAAGGAATAGTGATTTTAAAAAGTGGGAATAGGAGGAAGACACCCTTGGGGCCTTCAGCGGCTCCAAAACTTTCAAATTTTTTTAGCCTCGCTCCGCTCGGCATAAATGATTTGTAATTATTTTAAAAGACACTAATTACAGCCAAACTTTAATATCTTGTATGTATGCAATACATGTATATGCAGTTGGGAATTCAGAAGATTCATTTCTACAGATGATGATGATTAATTCTGATTAAATGGTACATAATGATTGGACTATTCATGTATTATTTATAATAAAAAATGAATTTAAAAATTGTATGTTTTCAAATATTATAAATATAGTTGTGAAAATAAATAATCAGTCCCTTGCTTTAATGAAAATGAAAAATCTTGCTTCAACAGTGCAGAAAATAGATAATCTGTCCTCTTAGTTTACAAAAATAAATAACCGATCAAAAACAAATCCTCCTGCCCCCCCCCCCCCCCCCCCAGAATATCAAATGGTCGTCCCCTAAGAATCCAAAAACAATCATTGAACTTGAACTTTTTGAAAATTAAAAAGACACACTTATAATATGTTATTAGTCAACTCAAACAGAGACAACAGAGACATATATGTCTCTGACCCAAATATAACTGTCCTACAACAACTTCAGATATCTTTTTGAAAGTATTTGGTAGCCCTTACCTTAACACAGGATTGTTTTATATTTAACTATAATGGAGAAAACTTTGATGCCAAGTTTAAATAATTGTTTGAAACAACTCTAGACAGAAGCATGGTTAGTTGGTAACATTATTCCTTTCTATAAAAATAAAGGTGATACAAAAAAACAGAAAATTATAGACCTATCATAATTCTTAGCTGCATGGGAAAGCTATTTACTTCAGTTCTGAATTCAAGACTTTCCACTTTTTTGGAAAATTACTTATTGTTAAATGAAAATCAATCAGGATTTAGAAAAGGCTATTCAACCATAGATAGTATTTTTGTTTTACATATTCTTTTTGAACTATTGAAGATGCGAAAGAAAAAACTTTTTTGTGCTTTTATAGACTTCGCAAAAGCCTTTGACACAGTCTGGCGATCTGGTTTATGGCAAAAACTTCTGGAGAACTTTATCAGTGGAAAAATGTATGATACCATTGTAAATATATAGTAACATTAAATCTAGAATTTTTAATGGTAGTGTATTTTCAGAGTATTTTCCTTGTAACGTAGGTGTACGTCAAGGCGAAAGTCTCTCACCTTTATTATTTTCTCTGTATATAAACGATCTTGAACATTTTTTACAAGACCAAGATGTAGAAGGGTTAAAAACAGTATCCGATGATATAGAAACTGAGCTAGACTATTATTTAAAGTTGTTTCGGATTCTGTACGCAGATGACACAACTCTAATGGCAGAGTCAAAAAATGACTTACAAAAGCAGCTTGACTCTTTGTATATCTATTGTGAACTTTGGAAATTGAAGGTAAATGTAAATAAAAGGAAAATTGTAATTTTTTCAAAAGGTAGACCGTTATCAAATATAGAATTCAAATATAATAATACTGCTTTAGAAATTGTAAATGAGTTTACGTACCTTGGTGTTATTTTTTCTAGAACAGGAAGTTTTTCGAAAGCAAAAAAAGGCGCAAACAGAAAAAGCCATCCACGCCATGTACGATGTTATCCGCAAAGGTCGAAAACATAATTTATCTTTAGAATGCAAACTCGATCTTTTTGATAAAATTGTCAAGCCTATTCTTTTGTACGGATGTGAAGTTTGGGGAGTCGGCAATAATTCTGTTATTGAAAGGGTCCACCTTAAATTCTGTAAAATTTTGTTAAATGTAAAGAAGTCAACGCCAGATTTCATGATCTATGGAGAACTTGGAAGATATCCTTTGGAAATTAATATCAAATTGCGGGTTTTAAATTACTGGTCGAAACTTATGTTAGGAAAGCAAGAAAAACTTCCTGTTATTTTGTATAATTATGCATATAAAAAGTATGGGATAAATATTCCATGGCTTAATAATATCAAATCTATTCTAGATAGTTGTGGATTGTCATATGTTTGGAATCCACAGTACTTTGTTAGTAATACATGGTTATATCATATTGTTAAAGTTAGTGTTGTAGACCAATTTAATCAAAATTGGCACTCAATCTTAATAGAATCACCAAAAGCTATTAATTATCGTCTATTCAAAGACAATGCTGAAAGGGAAAACTATTTTAAGATCATAGATGATAAAAATATTATAACTTTTTGTAGATTCAGGATCCTCAGTCATAAACTTCTTATCGAAACTAGAAGGTGGAAAAATGTACCAAGAGAAAATCGATATTGTAAACTATGCAATTCAGGAGATATTGGGGATGAATTCCACTATATTTTTAAATGTTCGAAATTTAATTATGAAAGAGAAAAATTTGTGAAACCTTATTATCTAAATAGACCAAACATATTGAAATTTCATGATCTAATGAATACTAGAAACATCAGTATGCTGAACCATTTGTGCAAATTTATCAGACTGATTAATAAACAGCTGGACTCTTAGGGGAAACATTGTTTAATAACTTTTATATCATATTGTATACATACATATTGTGTTTTTATATAAGCTGGAATTTCTTTTTTCTAGTTGTAGATTTGTACATTTGTATTAATTCTGACTATATGTTATATAATTAATGTTTATAATATCTCTGTACCATGGATTTTGGTTTATGAGAATAAAGATATATATATATATATATAGATATCAGCTTAACAAATTACTTTAATCACTTTAATAAAGTTTAATTATTTGTTGACAACAACTTTAATTAAATGTCACATTAACCATTTTGATTATTTATTGTAACAACTCTTAACATAAAAATAATAACAAAGAGACAAAAAAAAATGATAAACAAAATAAATTTAACTATTAATTACGTAATGCATCTAAACATTTTCAAAAATGAATGAAAATTACAAAAAAAGATTAAAATGCATTTAAAATATAAATGTCAAATATAAATAATATTTGTATATTATGGTTTTAACAGCTAGGGGTTTTCGGTATGATCCCAATCATTATTTGCCATTCAGTTGGGGGCGTAGCGATAGTGAGTCGACCCTATATAGAAAAATTCAATTTATTTGAATAATAAATGTCAAATTATATGGGGACAATATGGGGACGAAGTCCCCAATTACGGTAGAAAAATCAATAAAAAAAAAAAAAAAAAAAAAAAAAAATCCGGGAAAATTTCCCGAAATTTTCATTGTACTAATGAACTCAAAATCGTTAACTTTTTTTTTCAGACTTTTTTTATTTCCCCGCATCTGCGCAGAAATCAACTTCCTTCTTCCGGTCTCGTTTGTCATGATACTTTGAGTAAAATGTATATTTATCAGTCTGGTAAAATATAGGAAGGAACACAATACAAATTTCATTTTTAACAATTATTTGATATGAAAAAACGTTACCTGATGATAGCGTTTCTTTGTTTACATTGAATATGACGTCATAACTTAAAAAACGTCACAACTAAAATCACCTAACAACAGAACCAAAACCGGAAACGTTACGGTATTTCCGTTTCTTTTTTAACATATGGATGAATTAAAAAAAATAATTCATACAGACTTCGTCCCCTTTCACAGGTAATGCCTGCCTCATATTAAATGTCAAATTATAAGGGGACGAAGTCCCCTATAACAGTAGAAAAATCAATAAAAAAAAATAAAAAAAAAAAAAAAAAATCGGGAAATTTTCCCGAACTTTTCATTGTACTAATGAACTCAAAATCGTTAACTTTTTTTTTGTAACTTTTTTTAATTCCCGCATTTGCGCAGAAATCTACTTCCTTTGTCTCGTTTGTCATGAGACTTTGAGTTTATCAGTCCAGTAAAATATAGGAAGGAACACAATAACAATTTCATTTCTAATTCATTCTTTGATATGAAAAAACGTTACCTGATGATAGCGTTTCTTTGTTTACATTGAATATGACGTCATAACTAAAATGACGTCACAACTAAAATCACCTAACAACAGAACCAAAATCGGAAACGTTACGGTATTTCCGTTTCTTTTTTAACATATATGTTTGAATATTAAAAAAAATAATTCATACAGACTTCGTCCCCTTTCACAGGTAATGCCTGCCTCATATTATGGGGACGAAGTCCCCTATTACGGTAGAAAAATCAAAAAATAAAAAAAAAAAAAAAATCCGGGAAAATTTCCCGAAATTTTCATTGTACTAATGAACTCAAAATCGTTAACTTTTTTTTTTCAGACTTTTTTTTAATTCCCGCATTTGCGCAGAAATCTACTTCCTTCTTCCGGTCTCGTTTGTCATGAGACTTTGAGTGAAACATATATTTATCAGCCCAGTAAAATATAGGAAGGAACACAATAACAATTTCATTTCTAATTATTCTTTGATATGAAAAAACGTTACCTGATAATAGCGTTTCTTTGTTTACATTGAATATGACGTCATAATTAAAATAACGTCACAACTAAAATCCCTAACAACAGAACCAAAATCGGAAACGTTACGGTATTTCCGTTTCTTTTTTAACAGATTTAGAACTTAAAATATGTTTGAATTAAAAAAAAATAATTTATATAGACTTCGTCCCCTTTTAACAGGTAATGCCTGCCTCATATTAAAAAGAATGAACAATAACACAATAATAATGTCTGAAGTATTAATATTTCGAAATTATGTGGTATATTTTGCGTGCTCTGTGGTATTCTGTTGTGTTCTGTGTTAAAAAGACGCTCCCGAAAACCCGTTCTTAGCTTTCAATTAAACGCTTTAAAGATACGAGAATATCAGTGGTGAATCATAGAACAAAAAGAACTGGAGTCAAGTATTTTGGTGCGAAATACAAAAATACTCCAAATTCATAGCAATGACGTCCTTAGATGATCTTTTTGAACAAATAATTCACACAGAACGCAAAGCACAGGAGAGAAGAAGTTTCCTTAACGAAAGTAAATATACATTTTGTTTTTGTGCAAGTGGCCTCTGGATCTGTATCTGTATTTGAGTTTTCGTTGTTGACCGGCTATTCGGCCAACTTTTTAAGTTAAAAATGTGTCGTCGAATGATTACGTTTGAACACCATAAAATTAAATCTCTTGCCTAAGACCAGGAAGAAAAGTTCTTCAGTGAAAACTGCATGGACAGTTGTTTCCCACCAACTATTTCATGTGTAATGAAAATGTACCCATCGCGACATCTATATATGTTTTATAGATCATGCATCAAACTAGCATATTTGGCTGTAGTCGTTCCCGTGAACTCCCCCCCCCCCCCCCCCCCCCCCCCTTTTCCACCACCACACACAGGTCACAAAGGTCACTGCTAAATTTTTTCAAACATAATTACATATTCAGTTGATTTCTAAATAAAATAAGGAGATGTGGTATGATTGCCAATGAGACAACTTAACTATCCAATGTTCAGCCCAAGTAACTTCGTACGTGGTTTTAAGCAATAAAACTCATACCGCATATAACAGTCAGCTATAAATGGCCGGACATGACAAAACATGACACAGACAGCAACCAACAACAATCACTGAATTTCAGACTCCTGAGAATTGGGACAGGCACATACAAAATGTGGCGGGGAAAGGGGAGGGGTGGGTAAACTTGTTTGTGAGCGCTCAACCATCCCCTAACCTGGGACATAGGTGTGACAGTACAACATAAGATTAAAGAAGAAACTGAAAAAGACAGACCTGTATATGCGTTGTATAGTCATCAGATCGTTTTGAGAGATGATTGAAGATGGACGACCTTCGGTTATGGCCTATTGATTACGTTACAGTATGGTCACTTGGACAGAGGATGCAGTGCGAAACTCCACCTTTTCGAACTGTTAACCCGCTTTTTGATGGTTTGATAAGGTTAAACCCTTTCCTAGATTTATACTGCTGTCATAGAGGGCTTTCCAATATATTATGAAGATGTGGTTACATAAAGATTTCCTAGAATGTCTTTCACAGTCACTAAAATATTGCAACAATTTAAAAACATTTAACTTGTCTATATACAAGCCAACAACACTATTACATATATTCCTAATTTTTAATTGGAAGATCGCCCACGTCTCCTCATTTCAAAATGGAAGATCGTCTAACATTTTTTCTTTCTAAATCAGAAGATCATCTACATCTGTTCATTCTAAATTAGAAGATCGCCCACATCTCCGCATTCTAAATCGGAAGACTGCCACGTCTCCTCATTCTAAATAAGAAGAACGCTAACATCTCCTCATTAAACGGTGTTTCTTCTATAAACATGGTTAACGCGTGTGCCAGTTTTTAGTTCTATAAGTTTACTAAGATGAGAATTGCATAAAAACCATACTGATTTCAACTACACCTTCACCGAATAAGAAATTATCAAAATGCTGGACTTTTTTGGGTTTATTTTCTCTAGTACATGTCGGAACAATTTTTAACCTAAATTTAACGAGACTTGAATACTGAACATCAGCGTGCTATCTCTATATATTCAAGAATTAATCGATTATATTTTATGGGTAGATATACTTCGAGATGATGATAATTGATAGCTATAATAAAAGCAAAAAAAAAAAAACTACTGTCGCTTAAAACATTGACAGTACCAATTTCATTTATAATTGACGATTATGGTTGGGTTTATGCTCATGTTGGAGATTTGACCTTAAATGACCTTAAACGACAATTTGATTAAGACGATATATATGAAATAAAAACGCATGCCATCGATTACGTTGCGCATGGCACTTGTTTCTATAATAACTTTCATCACGTACGTGCGATAGAGACCAAATATGAAATCATACTTAAGATGTATGAAGTGACTATCAAGACCAAATAATGTTGTTAAGTATACACATAAAACGGTGATACTGTGGATTCAAGATACGATTTATTTCACACCACTGTTAATTTCAAAATTTCAAAAATGTCTTGCAATCTTTTCCTGAATCCATTATCCACAGTATCAATGGTTTATGTGTATACTTATTTTAAGGATACTAGCAACAATATTCCATAATTTTCGTTTGTATCCAAATCATAAATGAACAAAGGTGGCTCAAAACTGCTATTTTGACAGGTTTTGGTAAAATTAGAGAAATCATTAAGACATTTTTGAAATTTAATGGTGTAAAATATATTCAAGGGGAATTGGCCTAATTACCCCTATAACTATAATCCCTCGAAATGTTCTTTTTTTTTAATTTTTACTTGGTTAAGTTTGTGGAAAACGTATCAGGATCATGTACAATTTTAGATACTCAGATCGGGAACAGAACAGTATTGAAGAAAAGCAATATTTGAATCAAAATCTACATATCAGATTGTGATCTACATATATATAATATATCTATTGCAGTAAAATGTAATGTTCAGAAATTCAAAGAAAAGACACAAGAGGCACAGACAGAATGTGTTTGTTTACATGGACAATTAGCTACCAAGGTATCAATTCTTGATGTGGATTATCGCATGCGCATTTATTAATATCTTACTGCAAAGGACTTAGAAAATAGAGCATGATCTTGGCTATTGTATAAGACTGTATGTTGACCTCTAGATGTCCTATTGTTCAAGACTGTATGTTGACCTCTAAATGTCATATTGCATAAGACTGTATGTTGACCTCTAGATGTCATATTGTTCAAGACTGTATGTTGACCTCTAAATGTCATATTGCATAAGACTATATTTCAACCTCTATAGATGTTTTATAGCATAAGACTATAAAATTGAGAATGGAAATGGGGAATGTGTCAAAGAGACAACAACCCGACCACAGAACAGACAACAGCAGAAGGCCACCAACAGGTCTTCAATGTTGACTTCTACATTTCCCATTTTATAAGACTATGTTGACCTCTAAATGTCGTTTGGCTATTTGTTTTCTGTTGGTTGGTAACTTGCTTTTATGGTTCAATAGTTGGGTAAATAACTGTCTTTACTAATTACACAGAGACAGAGGCGGATTTAGGGTGTGTGTGTGCCCGCCCCTCTATGGAGCTTCATTTATGGTTAATCCAGACCGGTTCCACTACAAATTTTGTCTAGTTTGGGGGCCTTCGGGTCTTTCCTTTTTCAAAATCCTGGATCTGCATCTTGTTTCATTTTGCAAATCTTCTATTTGTAAGTTTGTAAGTTCTTAAGTGCTTAGAAACTTAGATGAAAGCCTTATTCAGAATTAAAAAAAGACAAGAAATAATCGGGTACTATTATTTCTAGGTACAGCAAATGAATGAAGATGAAATTTCCTGTAAAATGTTACAGAACAAACAAAAAACACTCAGTGAACAATTAGATATAATGAGGCAGGAATTCGAGGAACTGAGAAACGAAATGGTAGGTAATTGAAGTGTTTCTACTTCTGGACATCCAACAACATAACAAAAATAAAGGGTGGAATAGTCCAATAAGCCAAATTTAAACTAGATATGAACAATGCCCCCCCCCCCCCTTTTTCTGCTCTGCCATATGCATGACTATAGTTCCACATATTTTAGATTTGACAAACAGTGATGTTGGCATACAACTTGAAATTGTTACGCTGTTGTAAGACACAAATGATGCCCCCGCCTGACCATAGGAAATTATAAATTTAACACTATGTATTTTGACGTAACTGTAGGAGGAGATAACCGAACAAACCATGATCTCTTTATGCAGCTAGTACCAAAAAAATAACTAAGTCCAACTACCTGTCATTTTCAGAGTATTTGAAAAAAAAAATAAAAATCCTGTGGCCATATGCACACCTCCATTATGTGCTTGAGCATCCTACAAAATATTAAAGCTGTACCTCCAAAACTGTAGGAGGAGATAGTCGGACAAAACCATGACTCTTTATGCAGCTAGTACAAAAAAAAATGACTAAGTCCAATTATCTGTCATTTTCAGAATATTTGAAAAAAATCAAAATCCTATGGCCATGCACACCTTTATTATTTGTATGAACATCCTACAAAATATTAAAGTTGTACCTCCAAAATTGTAGGAGGAGATAGCCGGACAAACAATGTATCCTTATCCGGACGGACAGGCCCCCCGACATTTTGTCGCGGGGGCATAATAAATAAAATAACCAATAACATTCTTGTGCAACATCCATAGTATTTTGATGCACTGTTTATTTTTGTCTGCAAGACTTTTTATACGACCGCAAAAAATTTTTGAGGTCGTATATTGGTATGACGTTGGCGTCGTTGGCGTCGTCGTCGTCCGAAGACACATTGGTTTTCGCACTCTAACTTTAGTTTAAGTGAATGGATCTCTATTAAATTTTACCATACGGTTCAATACCACAAAAGGAAGGTTGGGATTGATTTTGGGGGTTCTGGTACCAACAGTTAAGGAATTAGGGGCCAAAAAGGGGCCAAAAATAAGCATTTTTGTAACTTCCAGACATAACTTGTGTGTTAGTGTATGGATCTCTCTGACATTGTACCACAAGGTTCCATATCACAAAGGGAATGATGGTATTGATTTTGGGGGTAATTGCCTCAAAATTTTAGGAATTAGGGGCAAAAAAAGGGGCAAAAAAACAAGTATTTTTCTAGTTTCATGATAATAACTTGTGTGTAATTGTATGGATCTTTCTGAAATTGTACTACAAGGTTCCATATCACAAAGGGAAAGCTGGAATTGAGTTTGGGGGTAATTGCCCAAAATATTTAGGAATAAGAGGCCAAAAAGGGGCCAAAAATAAGCATTTTTCTAGTTTCCAGACAATAACGTGTTCAAGTGTATGGATCTCTCTGAAATTGTACTGCAAGGTACCATACCACAAAGGGAAGGCTGGGATTGATTTTTGGGGTAATTGCCTCAAAATTTTAGGAATTAGGGGCCATAAAGGGAAAAAAACAAGCATTTTTCTAGTTTCAGGACAATATCTTGTGTGTAAGTGTATGGATCTTTATGAAATTTTACTACAAGGTTCCATATCACAAAGGGAAAGCTGGGTTTGAGTTTGGGGTAATTGCCTTAAACGTTTAGGAATTTGGGGCCAAAAACTAAAAAGGGGCCTAAAAACAAGCATTTTTCTAGTTTCCAGAAAATAACTTGTGTTCAAGTGTATGGATCTCTCTGAAATTGTACTGCAAGGTACCATACCACAAAGGGAAGGCTGGGATTGAGTTTGGGGGTGATGAATTATAAGGGGGTTCAAAAGATTTGGGGGAGGGATTTTTTTTTTTCTTTAAAATTTTCCACTTTAAATTGGTTATTTCTGAATTATATATAAAAGCAAATAATAATGATCTGGTTCGATTAGGTAAATTAAAATTTTTTAAGTTCTTAGACCACATTCATTCTGTGTCAGAAACCTATGATGTATCAAATATTTAATCACAATCCAAATTCAGTGCTGTATCAAGCTTGAATGTTGTGTCCATACTTGCCCCAACTGTTCAGGGTTCGACCTCTACGGTCGTATCAAGCTGCGCCCAGCGGAGCATTTTGTTGTTTTTGCTATAATTTCATCCATAATCAAAATCAAAAGAACATTTTCAAAAAAGTTAGAATACAAAGCATTCTTGCTTTTGATCGATCAAAAGCCAAGAAATTGGTGTAAAATAAGCATGAAACCATGCATCGACTTCGTTATTGCAGTAAACGTCATTCATAATTCAAAATGGAGTTTGCCGATGACGGTACAACAATAGCCCCAAAAAAATCGAAATAAGTGTAGCATTGTACCGCTGTACAACGCCGTTAACAGTATTGATCATTTCGATGCTTCCCAATAAAAATACAATTACAGAGATAAAACATAAAAAATAAAGTTTTTGGCTATTTTTATAATGAACCATTCTCACCAAAACAGCTTGTCCCATTTTAAAATTTACTCCTATAGCACGCTTATATCCGACTCAACGCGTACTTCTGGTACAAACTGCATATTCATGTGAAATTAACGCCCTGAATATGCATGTAATATTTGCTACTGGACATTAAACAGCAATCAATCAAATCAATCAGTTTCACGTATTGACATCTATTTTAAGGTTTACATTTAAAGCATCACTTCTCATTATTGAGGACATGCTTTTACATATCCAGTTCATTGCTATAAATGTACACTTTACAGCTAGAATGTCCGACTTATTAAGAATTAAGTAACACATATGGCTTTCATCTGCTTTTTATCGATTGTTTTTCTCTCTCCATATTCCTACATACAAATACATCACTTGAGATTAAAACTACTATCAACAATTATCAAAGCACTGTAACATTCTCGAATCTATTAATTGCAGGAAGTCCCATCGTTCTGTTTTAAAAATTCTTAAAAACAAAATTGTTCAAATTAAATGCACAATCCAAGGCCTAGAAATGAACTGTTTGACTATTTTTCCAGGTTGAAGTCTTATCAAAGAAAAACAATGGAACAGATATGTTTTGCTCTGAAGTTGAAGAGTTTGCAATCGACTACAGTTTAATTAGCAATGGCCAGTCTATCAGAGAAAGGGAAGCAAGACAAGAGATAGCGAATTTAAAGGAGAAACATAATTGTCTCAGACAAGGTCAGAATCAATCACACACAAAATGCAAAAGAATAAGGTATGCTCTCATCGTGTGTTTAGCTATTTGTTTATTAGCATCAGTTGAAGGTTTTATTTATAGTTAAGACAGTATTTTCACATGTTAATATGGTGTTTTCTATGTTGTGATTTGTAATTGATATTTAAATTTTAGTCTTTTTTTGCCATGTTGTTGTCAGTTTGTATGAGGCGCGGATTTAGTCAGAATATTGTATTGAAGGAGCTACCTCCTGAGAGGCGAGGATTAGTCAGAATATTGTATTTAAGGAACTACCTCCTAGGAGACGTGTATTTAGTCAGAATATTGTAATTAGGGAACTCCCTCCTGAGAGGCGCAGATTTAGTCAGAATATTGTACTGAAGGAGTTCCCTCCTGGGAGGCACGTATTTAGTCAGAATATTGCATTTAAGGAACAACCTCCTGAGAGGCGCGGATTTAGTCAGAATATTGTATTTAAGGAAATACCTCCTGAGAGGCACGGATTTAGTCAGAATATTGTATTTAAGGAACTACCTCCTCAGAGGCGCGGATTTAGTCAGAATATTGTATTTAAGGAGCTCCCTCCTGAAATGTTTCAGGATATCCTACCAACCAAGATTTTTTTCATATTTTTTCTCTCCAGATAGTCAGGTTTATGAAGAGAAAAGAAAGTTGGTGTCTGAACTTAATGACCAGCTTAAATGTTTCGACGAAGAGAAGACTAAACTGGAAAGAATACTACATGGTAAAGATTTATCCTATAGTTGTTTTTACTTTGTAAATTAACTGAAACTAAGTTTTTTTTTCACATCAAATTATTATAATAATTTAGATCAACCGGGTTTTTCACATTGATACTTACATTTCAGATCTCAATTGCAAGCTACAAGACGAAATTCGATTGACAGAAGAAAAGGAAAATTTGCTGAGTTTTCCAATCACAACTCCAGAGTTTGTCAAGTGAGTCATTTGTGGAAGGATCTGTCTATAACAGTGGACTTACCGGATCGGCATCATTAATGATCATCAATGACCTTGTTTTACCATATCACATATACTTAATGTCATTTTGTCTTTATTGTAAGTCATTATAAAATAAAGAGATGAGGTATGATTGCCAGAGGTATGATTGCCAATGAGACAACTATCCACCAAAGTTCAAATGAAGTGGATATAAGCAATCATACGACCTTCGACAATGAGAAAAACCCATACCGTATAGTCGGCTATAAAAGGCCCCGACGTAAAAAAAATATGAAACAATTCAATTGAGAAAACTAACGGCCAAATTTGTAACAAAACAATTTACGAAAAACAAATATGACCGACATGAACCAACGACAACCACTGAACTACATGCTCCTGACTTGGGACAGGCACATAAAGAGTGGCGGGGTTAAACATGTTTGTGAGCGCTCAACCCTACCCCTAACCTGGGACAGTGGTTTAACAGCACAACATAAGAACAAACTATTTAAAATCAGTCGAAAAAGGATTAACTCATCAGATCGATACAAAGCAGAACAATCAAACAAAAACACAGACCGGCGGCGGACGTTGCAGGTTGTTTATCCATCCCTCATCCCTAACAGCAAAAATGACACTAAGTACAGATCTGAGAGTACTAGAAGGTACTGACAGTTACAGTTACAGTTACTGTTATTGTCTTTTTTAATAAAACCTCCTTATAATTTCAATTCTTATTATTATCATTGATAAAGCCAATGCCCGTTGATATCATTGTTTGACTTTCATACCAAATCAAATGCCACTGTCTCCTTGCTTTAGTTGGAATCTAGTCTGAATTGCATGTCATTGTCTTTCTCAAATTACCCAGAATTACATGTTAACTGCAAATGACGTTGTCTTTATCGAATTACTCAGTATTAGTACATGTAACCTGCAAATGCAATTGTCTTTCTTGTATTACTCAGAATTATATATATAGGTTGTATAATCCACCATTTCTACATAATACCTGTACCAAGTCAGTAATATGTTTTCCATTCGTTTGATGTGTTTTAGCTTTTGATTTTGCCATTTAATAATGGACTTTCCGTTTTGAATTTTGCTTGGAGTTCGGTATTTTTGTTAATTTACTCTTTACATGTATGCAAATGACATTGTCTGTCTCGAATTACACAGAATTACATGTTACATTCAAATGATATTGTCTTTGCTGAATTTCTCAGAATTACATGTTACATTTAGAATCGCATGCTATAGATGCAAATCAAAAAGAAATTATCTTCCTCGAATTACCAAGAATCTCATGCTATAGATGCAAATGGCATTGCCTTTCTTGAATTAGTCTAAATAACATGTTACATGTAAATATTACTTTCTATATCTTGAATTGCATGTTACATGTTACATGTAATTCTTATTGTTAATGTCATTTTCATGAACTATCTTAATGTGCAGATTACAGCAACAGTTGGACACACTGAAAAACGAGAATTTAGAAGACAAGTGTAACAATTTACAGAAGGAAATGTGCAGGCTTCAGCAGTTATGTTGGCAGAAACAATTAAAAGATAGACAAAAACAACAAGACGTCAAACGACAAACTCGAAGACAGGAACAAAAGGTCTGAATTTTTAACACCAGCAATAGTTTATTCATAATTTTGTTTCTTATTCTGTCATCATTCGTCTTGCACTGAAACTTGTTGTTCAAAATGACCGTTGGAAATGATTGCAATGACAACATTATAGACATATTCAGTTCTGTTTGTCAATGAAACAACTGCTTTTTACGGGATGTAAAACGGGTTCTGTTTACATTGACAACACAATTGACGATTAAAACTATTTTTGGGGCACACATACAAATGTGTGTGCCATAACACTTCGGCCGAGGGAGGCATACACTTATTCAATTGAACCATTTGCTATAGACAGATATGCAGAACAAACTGATCGTCACAATAGAAGAATATCATAATATTATTTAATTTACGGGTGTGTATTATTTAAAAGCCTCTTCAAAATAGCAGATTGAAAGTCATGATGATTTATGCAGGAAATAGGTGCTTTAATTATTTGTATGGGTGATAAATGATCCATATTCTTCCCTAACTTCACTGGTAATAAAAAGGCACTAATTTTATATTATTTATTCTCAATTATTTATAGGTCGTGACCCAATCTCCCGTATAACATATATGAAAGACGTATTCATCTGTTTTTGATTAATTCATTATACATAATCTGTTTCAGAATTCAGTTGCAGTATCAAATCGTGTTCAGCTGTCCAATTTTTCATCTGATGGAAATAACAGAAAACAGGTCTGTTATAGACACAAAGTTATGTATTTCATCAGAAGTCAATGAATTTCTGATTTTGTGCATGTTTTTTCCATAGTGCTTCAATCTCATCTAGCTAGCTTTTCATTTTCACAAATACAGAATATTTTTTTATTGACTCAAACATTTTTTAACGTAGCCTTATAAGGAGAGATAACACAGGTAATTTGATTTAAAAAAAGGAATGTACAGTAATTTTTATTATTTTGTAAAACGAAGGTTGACCCCATTTTTTCTTATAATCATCTCAAAGCATTTTATAAGAGCTATTTTCTTATATTATATATACTTCTATTATCTAGTTTTCTTTCTGTTCTCATACTGCTTTTTCCTGCTTAATCCTTACAAAATGTGTAACTTTTTTACAAACCTGCAGCTTGAAAACCAGCATGGTTACCTATAAATATTATGATCTTTTTGAAAGTAGCACATTATAAACTACATTTTGGCAAATTATGAAAAAATATATATATTTTTTATACTAGTACCCCATAAATATAGGAACGTCTATACATAACGTTCTTATCAATTGAAATTATTTGTTTTCTATACCAGATAAATATATAATTGAATAATTTTCTTACCCTTATGTATCTCTTAGTAATGGTCAGTGATGACAACTATACAATGAACAAATCCCTTTATGAACAAGAATGGTGACTAACGGTAAAGTGAATCTGAAGTACTTTAGACAGCACGTACATGTATGTATTTAAAATACAATGAGTTAATCATACTTTCTCCCTACTAAATAGAGGGTCTACATGGGGTTTTCAGGAAAGAGAATAATGGGCCAATACTACAGAAAAATGGGCCAAAATTTACAGAATAGAGAAAATAGGCCAAAAAATAAAGATTAAAGGATCATAGGTTATCTTTTTCTTACCTCCAATCATTTTACTTAATAAATGTTACAGTTATGAATATTCTAAACTTTCAATTATAGGTAGTAGATAATACAAACAAAGAATTACAAGACCTGTTTACTGAGGATTTTACAGACGTCAACTATCAGAAATCGTTATTCAAAACGAGTATGTATAACCAGTCATATTTGCCCCCAGTTCAAGTGTGTAAAGCTTTTGCTCTAGCTTTTGAAATGAAAACATTTTTTAATGCTAATGAATATGATTTGAACCCTCATATAGGGTTTTTATACCCCACCCCCCCCCACCCACCCCAATAAATGCCAATATATGAAAATTAAGCCAAAGGTGTTGGTTATTGGGTACAAGATAGTTCTATCTTGATGGATAAGGAAAATTTACGCTTTTTCGAGGACATTTCTTGTTGAGATTTTTTTTATGATCAATAGTAGGTACTCCTGATAAATAAGGATTAATGCAAAAACAAGTTAAGGGAGCAAAAAATAGACCCTAGTGGCACAAAACCTAAATAGTTTGTATCACACACATTGATGTATCTAAGTTTGGTGCTTTGTTGGTGGTAATTTCATTCAGTAAATTGGTAAAGAATATGTTTCAACCAAATAATTGACATCGAAATTAAAAAAAAAAAGTAATGACACTGTAGTAGAGTAAAATGCTCTCAACAACAGTTTTTAACAAAACAAGTATGAGGTATAACTGAATGAGGTGATAGAATAAGGATGTCCTTAGAATGTACTTAAACACGTTACAAATAAGTATTTTGAACTTTTTCACTATCATGATTAGTAAAACTATGGCAGTTGCTGAAAAAAACGAGTTATTATGCTTATCGTTTTTTTTCATTTGTAGGATCTGATCATTAAATGTCATAAGTGTCATGAACCAGCTGACGAAAAGAGGGAAAATTATATGTTAGTTTTATTTCCCAGTAAACTTCAATATCACAATTGTACAATGTACATAATAAAAATGTCTTATTTGGTTTTGCTTCCTTTATGCACATTTAAATTGAATATTGAACAGTAGTTACAGCTTTTTTATGTTTTGGAGAACATATATAAATGAGACAAAATTTGTAATGTTAGCGTAGTAATTAGAAAGTTCTTGATTGTGCAACAGCATATAAGACTACCAGAAAGGTAAGCTGATCAAATCCAGAATGGTAGTTGGTTGATGCTCTGTTAGCATTATCACGTGACTTTTGAAAAACGGGTGGCGACTTTGATTCAAAGGTCGGAATCTCTAAGTAGGGATTGTCGCACTCAATATCAAATCTGAACGTGTAAAAATTTAAAATATATCGAGTGGATCCCACCGAATCGCCATAAAACTCATCTTTTGTTTCCTTGGGATATAGAAAAAACGTTGATACACCGTATATGAGAGTAAGTTTGTTCATATCCTCATGATCTTTAACTTGAATGTTACCGTATGCAGGATTGTAATAGTTGCCAAAATAATCTTTCTTCTGACGGCTCATAGCACGACTCTTCGTAACATTAGGCTTTGTTCTGGGTGTATAATCAAACCATGGTTGTGGGTATGAACAAACTGTGGTGCTATTCAAATAAGGCGTCTGATTGGTGTAGACATCAAATATATAGTTGTGTAGTATTTGTCGGATGAAGTAATTTGGATCATTCCCAGTGAGTACGGTAAATATTCCCAGATCAGCATCCGGATACCAGGACAGCATTGCTCTATATCCAAAAGTTGCTCCACCATGAATAAACATCCTATTTCCTGTGGAAGCAGTATTCAATCAAATACATTTTCAAAAGGAATAATGAATTAAAAAATAAGGAGATAATATGTCATGATTGCCAATGAGACTATCAAACAGAGACCAAAGCACGAGGATGTAAATAACTACAGAGCAAATCATTGTACCCATGAAATAATTCAGTAAGGTTTTACGTAATTTGTGGTAAAGAAATCCCTGACTTTATAATCATTTACCAGTTACACATAGGTTACGTTCAGTGAAATTTAAAACACTCTGGCATGGCGGACGATTTAGGACATATACACACACTAAGAAGGAACATACCCGTACATGAAAGGGAACGAAACTCGTCTCTTCTTTTGTCGTAAATTTTTGTATAGTTTTTTTTCCCGCGTAAAACTGAAATACCCAAATCTAAAAAAAAAAGGACAATTATTGTTGTTTACATGGGATTTATTTGAAATCAGTTTCCTAGTATAAATGTCCGCAATATAATTTGAAAATTTGTTATTATCTAAAGTAATCATCAACGTAACGTAAGTGTTATTATTTTATTCTTAATTTTTAAATGGAACTTAGACGGATCTTTTCAGATTTTGGCCAAAAACTGTAATTCATTTCAATATAGGAACAACTTTAACTGGAATCCGCTTATATTTAACGTTATGCTCTATAAACAAAGTGTAGTAGTCAGGCGAGAACCAGCTTAGGGATAAGTTTTACATTAAATTGGCACAATTGGTGCCCATAGTGATAACTACAACCTGTTACAAATTACAATAGTGTATTATGTAACATAACAAAACAAAACAAATTGAATTACAATTATCAAATTAATAGTGCAATGCGTATTACATCGTATGTTTTTTCTTTCTTATTTAGGATATATCATATCTTTTCGAGCCACATTAGATAATGAAACAAGATGCATTGTTCATGCCATTTTTATCTGACTCGTTTCAAAACTCACCCCTATAAAATCCCGACCTCCAGCCAAGTGCATATCCTGTGATAGAATTGGTGACTGGGACTTTAGGTTTAGTATAATATTTATACGTATACATATCATTAGGTACGGTATTGGCTGCTGTGGTAATTTCTTTGAATGCTTTTTCAGATATTAGTCTTTTTCCATCCGGTAATTTCCCGCCGTTAAGATAGAAAGTCATCCACTTCGTCATATCCACTGCTGTGGTCAATATGCAACCAGAACCACAAAGCTCGCCATAATATCTGTAAAAGAGTCCTAATATATTGATTTATCTATCTTTAATAACAACTCAATTGACTGTATTTATTAGATATCACCCAAGTAGTTAGTCAGTCATTGTTTTCTTCCAAAAATCCAAAAGATTACCTGAACGTCAGTTGATGCAGTTTTACGAACCAAAAAACTTGTTTATTTTTACATATTTGATTATAACTGTTTAGATGAAAAAAAAATGTTCATGGTTTAGTTGTCAACTGTCGCAAAACCTGGCTATATTGCTTCTTGATATTGTATTTCAAAATTGTATTACTAAAAATAATGACTAAAAATTCACTGTGTACTTTTACTTACTTTGAAAACCCAAAAGGGAACGGTAGAAGCTCCCCGTAAAAATCCATATACCCCTGTGCTAAATTTATCTTCTCTGGGTTAGCTGTCGTTACAAAAGTAGAAGATGTCATTCCAAGTGGCTCAAATAAAAATTTAGAGACCAGATTCTCCCAGGTATCTCCACCAATTATCTCTGTTAAATGAGTGACAAGACCATACAACAAACTACTGTAGATGTAACTACCTCTGAACTCTTTTTCTGCTTTCAAGTATTTGAGTCGACTGAAGATAGAAATTACTTAGTCTAATCACAATAGATATGATATGGTTTATGATATAACCTTTTCGATTTTAAGTGTGCCAGGTAACATGATTGTTTCATTGTCGTTTTAATGTCCAGTGGCTAATATTTCATACAAGTCAGGACGATGTAAAGTTACAGAATTATGCTCATTAACCAACATCACGGGAAAAGGTCATTCTATTTCTGCTTACTGCAAGTAAATGATCGACTTTGTCGTGTCCTTGTTTGCTTGATTTCGGATAAAAACAACAAAGAACATGCAAAACCTCTGAGCTATCTGTTTCAATACAAAACGATGCACTATATGAACATTTCGAAAATTTATTTCTAATCTCCAAATGTTTTGAAATTCAAAGCACCAAATATTTAAGAGTAATAAATCTTAAAAGTACATACATGATGTAATGCCACTTTAAGTACAAACCAATTTAAACTTACTGTATAAGGTTTGATCTTGTAAGATTATTATCTAGTCGTATCCTGTTATTCTGAGGGATTCCTGTTCTGTGAGACAGTAGATCACGGACTGTTGTGAATTCAGACCTCAGACTATCGTTAAAGATTTGGTCGTTCCTCAGAATTGTCTTTATCTTGGTATCCAAAGAATACCTAATGAAAATACAACTTAGAATAAGGCAAACGAAATATTAATATATCTTTAGATGTATATATAAGAACAAGTCTTTTGTGCAGCAAATTAGGATCAAAGAGGTCATACAACACAGAACAATACGTTGGACCAACCATTTTGTTACAAAACAATAGTATATAGACAGTGTCAATGACGCATTGCAAGATAGTTTAGAGAACAGACAAATTGCGGAAGATCTTTCAAGTAATACAACAAAATCTTACAATACATACATTTCATAATTTTACGCTGTATAATTATCGACTACGGCCATTCCAGAACGACGGTATTTATAAGCTCGCGAAAATGACACGTGATGTCAGAAAAAAAAGTGTCTGGAAGTAAAAAGTAACTGACTAATATAAGAATCAAGATGTCTTATGTCAAATGCTTAACGCAAATAGCTAAAGATAAAAAAAAAAGAAGAAAAACGAGACGAGATTAGGCAAGCTTACTAAATGACCAACAATTTTTCAAAAGAATAGGAAAAATGAAGTGAACGAATACTCAATGAACATATTAGCAGTGACGATCATGGTGTTGTATTGCTGTGTGACCAAGTATAACACATCCTCTTAATTCACAATCGATACAACTTGTTTGCCTGGGCTTTAACATGTTAGATGGTTGTAGTTATGTTGGATCGATTCAAACATACGTAACGCTCTCTCTCTCTCTGTGAATACAGTGGACGTGCATGATGTAAATAGTCTACTTGGGCGCAGACATGTTTGATCTATCTAAATATATGTATGCCGGTGTCCATGTATAATATTTGGCAAACAACAATATATACAAATGAACGATACTTTGTTTACGAAATGTACGTGTATTGGTTTTTGTGCTTTGAAAAGTGCTTTATTTGAACCTTTCGATTGTTTTTTAAACGTAAATACACTGACATATAACACTTTAAGCTATAGGGATTTTGTTAAATCACTCGATAAAACATGGACGCTTTCGAAAAAGCTCAGGCATATGGATATTAATCTATTCTCAAAATGTAATTCTCAATACAATAACAAGAATGTGTGCAAGGTTTTTTCTATTATCTAAGGATTATATAGATTCCATGTATGCATCTCCTTTGACATTTGCATTGGTATGATTCTATATTTTGAAATAAAAGCATTGTAAGGTTAAACCTTTATAACACAACATAATGTAGGGTTGATAATATCTTTTTATCACAAATACTAACATTCCTTGGATGATCTTGTATTTCAAGCATCTATTTCACGTCTTGCCAGAAAAAGAATATAAAAAGAAGATGAGGTATGATTGCCAATGAGACAACTCTCCACAAGAGACCAAATGACACAGAAATTAACAAATATAGATCACCGTACGGCCTTCAACAATGAGCAAAGCCCACACCGCATAGTCAGCTTTAAAAGGCCCCGAAATGACAAATGTAAAACAATTCAAACGAGAAAAATAACGGCCAAATTTATGTTAAAAAATAATGAACGAAAAACAAATATGTTATACAGCAAAAAACGACGACCACTGAATTGCAGGCTCCTGACTTGGGAAAGGCACATACAGAATGTGGCGGGGTTAAACTCGTTTGAAGGCGCCAACCCTCCCCTAAACTGGGACAGTGGTGTAACAATACAACATAAGAACAAACTAAAAATCAGTTGAAAAAGGCTTAACTCATCAGATGAAAACAAATAAAAATACATCTAACAATTAAAAAAAAAAAGAGTGGGCATGGACGGGTACTTATACATCCCTACTACAAAAAGACACTAAGTACAGATCTGGGAGTACTCGCAGTTACTTACTGCTAGTTCAAAGCCAATAAAAACTTATAAAACAAATCATGCATCTAAGACTAAAATATCAATCAGTACACATCCAACATCCAATGGATTTAGTGTAAAGACGTCATAACCAGTCAGAGAAAAACATGACTTTGTGCAATGCCAAGATACAGGTATCGACAGATTGTAGAGCCATGAATGTGCATATGTATATAAAAATAATATTTAGTTTGATTTTAATTTACTGATAACAAAATCAATATAAATACCAATAAAAACAATATTCAAAGGTCTAATTACAGTGTTGAATTGGTAACCTTTTAGGATAAGTTTATTTAAAGGATCGATAGGTTTACCCGGATCGTTTCTAAATTTCCGGGCTCGGTAAACAACATCTCCGTAAAAATGAAGATGTGCTATCCCGTTTGAAATACGTTTTCTACAGGTACAACCAAACTTCAAAACCAAATCTTTATATCTATGGAAGAATTTAGTACAGGTTTTAAGTAATTTGTGGTAACGAAATCCCTGACTTAATAATTTACCAGTAATACACAGATTACATTCATTGAAATCCAAACGTCACAACAGACAGGGGCATAGCGAACGAGTTATGATATATAAACACCGTAAGATGGTGCCAAAGGAACATCACCGTCCAAAAAAGGAAAATTAACAATATGGAATGAAAAATCGTCCCTTTTGTCGTAAATTTTAGTGTATAGTTTCCCGTATAAAACTGAAATATCTAAATCTAGGAAAGGACAGTTATTGCCGTTTAAATTTGATTTATTCAAAGTAAGTTCCTTTGGGTAAATTTCGGCAGTATATTTAGAAAATTGTTGATTATTTAACGAAAAAATATCATCAAGATAAGGGTAAGTGTTGTTGAATTTATCAATTAAATGCAATTTAGACGGGTCTTTACTGAGTTTGGTCATAAGCTGTGATTCATAACAGTACAAGAACAAGTCTGCTATTAAAGGGGTGCAATTGGTGCCCAAGGAATACCTACAACTTGCCGATAAACTTTATTGCCGAAACGTACATAAATATTATCAAATAGAAAATTAGCAGCTTCAATCATCTCATCACACCTCCAGTAAGTATATCTAGCAATATTTACCTTTCTCATTAGAGAAGAAGGCTTTAAATGAGTTGCAGCAAATATATTTGCATTCAGATTTAGCAATCGACCATTTAATTAAATAGGAAAACTTTTGTTTGATAAGAATGTGTGGAAGTGTAGTGTAAAGAGTTGAAAAGTCAAAACTGCCATCAGAATCATAAGGACCATCAAAAGCACGTAACTTATCTAAAACATCCAAAGAATCTTTTACACTCCAAAAATAGTGAATTCCACTATTTTCATATGTTTTATTACAAAAGTTAATGATCAATAAGTTCTTTGATAGTAGTTAAGGAACTAGTTAAAAGCACTGAAAGATAAGTTGTAGAACACTTACTAGAGGCCGAGATGAAACGATATTTTACTGGTTTTTTGTGTAGTTTAGATAACCAATACATAGAAGGGACCTTCAAATGTTCAGAAGCGGCTTTAAGCAGTGATGTGGTTATGATATGTTTGTTAACTATATGATTCTCTGTGGAGCGCACGGACTTGAATGTAGAAGAATTTAAAATTTCATTCTTAAGAACGTCCGTGTAGTGTGTACGGCATACTACCACCACATTGTTGGCTGCTTTGTCGGCCGGTACAAATACAAATCGCTTTGAAAGTACTTGAAGTTTGTTTTTTATTCTAGAAATAGGCGTGTTGTGTACTCTTTTAATTATTTCTGAATTATTTTCAAAATGTGATGTTCGAATATCCACAACATTAATCATACGTTTATTTAGATAAGAATCAAGAGATTTTTTATCAGATTTTTCCCGTTTACACCAATTTTTACAATACGATGAAAGAGGGTCTTTTATGACCTGACGACACTGTTTCCAATCTATTTTAGATGGAGGACGATATTTTGGTCCTTTTTTCAAAAAGTTTTTAACCTCTCGGTCTTGAACGATATTGAGGTCCCCCGTAATACATGGCCATAGGGATCATATCTGATATTCGACGATTCACAGTCTCAAGTTAGAGGAGTATTATTTTCAACATTGACGTCTGATGTTACTGACGTATAATTAAAATTTAAACTTCTGCTGGGTTTTTTGTATGTATACCAAATAATAGGTGGTTCTGTGTTATCAAAATAGGGAGGTATACAGTTTAGAAATCTGTTTGTTTACATTTTTTTATCATATTCACTCGAAAAAATGTGACGGTGGTCACATTCGAAAAAACCCGATCAAATCGTTCGATAAAACACGATTAATTCCAGCCGGACACTATACCTGGGACTATTATACTAGTATAATAGTCCCAGACTATACCTACTGCGGTCTTTCAGAAATCTTTTCCTGAAATGTTGAGGTTATAACTACATGTATAATAATTATTGTCATAGTCTTAAATTTTTTGGAATACAACCGAGTTCGTCTGTACCCAGTTTAATACGCGACTAATTTTTATTCATTCATTTATTATATTTCCTGTGTATAAATTTTGTTAGATCTTGCATTATCCCTCTCGCTGCTATAATGATATATACACGAAATCACAGCGGCTGGTATAAGTGTAAAATATTCTGTATCGCAAGATTGAGTATTTTATGCTTGTTTTCAGTAACTATGATCATTTACTAATATTGTTTTCTTGGTGACATCGATATAATTGAGTTATTTGTTCATATATAACTGCGCTAGGGTATTCTAAAATCTATTTAACCCCGCAATATTTAGACTTGTCCTAAGAACTTGGTCAGTGGTTGTCTTTAGTTTTATCCTAGGGTGTTTTAAAAAAGAATATATATTACACAATTTCATTCATTTTCTTTCTTTAAAAATATACTACTTACTCAGTTTTCTCTTCGATTAGTTTAACCAACAGAGTACTGGCAAATGCTTTAGTTAGTGATGCTATTTGGAAAACAGTGTCACCAGTCACAGAAGTATTGTCATTAGAATATCCTCCAACAAACAAAACTTTGTCAGATTTGACCACAGACACAGACAGACCGACAACTAGGTGTGATTTGCACAACATCAAATCTTTCAATGTAGCATTGAGCTCTGTGGAACAGCTTGTACAACCATAAACAACTCGAGCTACAAAACAAAATGCTAAAAACGCTAACATTCTATTCTTTAAAATCCTCCTTGAAAGAACGTGAGAAATATATGTTAGATCAGGTAAAGATAACGGTTAAAAAATAGATGTGTATTTTGTTACACTTACACATAAACAATAACATATGTACAGTGAACGTGCCAGAGTAGTTGACTCTGACTTAGCAAGTTAACCCGTTTATCTAAAGAGGTTGATTATTATGGAGACACGCGAATTATCCTATCTGCTGGTATACGTTCATCAGTGACGAATAATTTCTTTCTAGAAATATTTCAAGAACAAGAAATTCTATGTACGAATTTTTGTTTTTATTATAGACACTAGATTGATTTATAGTTATAATTTTTTTTGCGGAATAATTGATTAAAAGTTAATGAGATCAAGGTTTTGTACTATTCACATGTAAAAAGTAAAATAACAAGAATACCGAACTCCAAGGAAAATTTAAAACGGAAATTCCCTTATGTTTTTGGTGCAATGCATATTGCTCAGCTCAATTTGATACGGAGCCCCGCTAGGGACATGCAAAGAAAAACATATATATTGTGCTCACAAAATAATATATTGTGCGCACAACTTAAATATATTGTGAACACAATTTAAATATATTGTGCGCACAACTTAAATATATTGTGCGCTCAAATTCATTGAGCTTATACATGGTACGGCGCTTCAATGTCTCCTTTTCAAAGTGACAGAATGGAGAAATACATAAGGGATTATTTTGAAGTGAGGTTAGATTACATGGAAATACTCGCACTTTTAGCAAAAAATCACCACTGCATTGTTTCTTATCGACACCTAAAACGTATACTGAAGAAGCTACGTTTACTTCGTCGAAAACACTACACGACACTTGAAGATGTCATTGCCTTCATCGAAGACAACACTAAGGGATCTGGAAGGCTTCGTGGTTATCGCTGGATGTTTATGAAATGTAGACAAGCAGGTTTAACTATACAAAAAGAGTATATGTGCGAATTTTGATGCAAATTATAAACCCTGAAGGAGTTGAAATGCGACGAAAAGGTCGATTACAAAGGAGAGAATATTGTTCGAAAGGGCCAAACTTCATATGGCATTTGGATTCATAAGATAAACTTAAACCTTTTGGAATATGCATAGATGGCTTTTCTCGATTGATAATATGGAAGGAGGCAGGGCAGACTAGTTTAGTTTAAACATATTTTATTTGCTAAATATCAGCAAAATGGATGAGACACAAGTAAATCATACTTATGAAGTCTTCTCCATATTACAATACAAGTATATATACAATAATAACATTATGAGCATGCATGTAAAGCTAACAAATTCATTAAATATTATACGAACTATAAATAAAAAGAAAAAAAAAAGAACAAGAAGAATGAAAAAGGAGGAAAAGAAAAAGAAGCAAATTATATTTTCTGTGATGTTGACTTAGGTTTGATGGTGATGATCATCCGTGCCGGTAGCAATAATATTTTATGAAGGTACTAGAAATCTGTTAGACCTTTTAATAAAATCTTGAACATGTTTGAAAATTAGGAGATTTTGTTCATTCGAAAGTTCAAGATCTCCGGAAGTTAATAGTTTAGTATCAATAATAAAGTTTTCAGTAAGCCAATTAAGATTGTTAAGTACAATTTCTCTACATGTAGTATATTTTGGGCAAACTAAAAGAAAATGATGAACATCCTCAATATCAGACCCACACTGACACGAAGGATCCAGTATTATGTTATCTTTGAAAAGGTCAGAGTTCAAAAATGAAGCGGAACATCGCAATTGAGTTAAAATAATATTCAGTTTCCTCGGACCGTACATATAATACGGCGCAACTCTACTCTGAACACTTTCATTTTTCAATTCTCTCTTAAATTTAGATATAGAGTCGGTGTTTCGAATTTTTAAGTCAAGCTTATTCCATTCTCGTATTGTGGATGGAATAAAAGATTCAGTGGTAAGGGAAAATCTACAAAATGGAACAATGATATTTTGACCGTTTCGCAACGGATAGTTGGCAGACTAGTAGTGACCATCGATTTATTTCAGGGTATTTTGTCAAAACTATTCTTCAGAAGTAAGAACCTATGGTGATAAGAGGAGATCTTGGTACCGAAAATGGTAAGGTCGCTGAAATGAAGACTTTTTTTACGACGCAATGATGATACGTATGCTCGACATAACAGTGCATTTGTTTACGACACAAGCCAACATAATCAAAGAATTGAATCATGGTGGGGAATTTATAAAAAAGAAAACTCACAGTAACTGCTTTGGATGACATTTTTAAAAATATTAAACAGGATGGCTTATTTTCAGGAGATCCTCTTCATAAAAACTTGATATGATTCTGTTTCCTGTATTTATTTTCTATCTAAATTATGCTTCCCCTTTCCTTATTTCAACAACTCATTTTATTTGCTTATATAATCATATAGACCAAGCGAAACAAAAGGAAAACAGTCCACAGTTAATGTAGTTGTGGATAAACAAAAATTAATGGGCATAGACCCAATTTTGTAAAACTAAGAGTGCCCTCTAAACTTCTGTCCACCCGTCTGTCCAATTTTCAATGCTTAAAATTGTAAGTCCGTTAATCTTTTTATATATGCAATCTGTTAAGGCTAGCCATTTGTTTCAAACTTGAATATTTGTTTGCCAGTTAAGCTTTTATTATAAACTAGAATAAAAACCTTTTTGAATAACAAATTAAATGGCATAACAAGGCAGTACTCCGAAATAAAATTCATTTATAGTGATGCAATTAATTGTTTTCATTTAAAAAACTGTAAAGAAATGCATATAGCATATACTTATGTTTATGTACGTCAAGCATACAGCAACTCAACTGTTTTATAAAATCATCATCAAATACTATTCAATAAGATAATCATTGTGTAGTTTAGACTATAATACGAACATATTTTGTACAATAAAAATGTTTATCCGAGTTTTGCAATGTCAGCTTCAGTCTTAAAATATCTGTTTTAAAGTCATACATAATGTCAGCTGAGAAAATATTCTTATAATCTCATTTCTATGCATATATATATAAAGTGTTTTATACATGAAAAGTCATCGACTCAAACATGAAACTCATTATCTATTTTTAATTCCAGATAGAACTTTTAGAGGTTTTTATTATTGGAACGCCCTTAAAATCAGAAAAAATAATAAAACAAAATGGTGTGTATATTGACGCCCGTATGTGCTCTACTCGGTTCCTGAAGTGTACGGAAAAGTGACTATGTTCGTAGCCCTGATATGGCAAGCCGTTCTCGTCAAAACTATGTTTAAACTGGCCGTTTTTCGAAAAATTTACACAGTGAGAATTAAAAAAAAACACACACTGAGAATTAAAAATTACACACTGAGATTTCAAAAAAACGCACTGAGATTACAAAAAATGAAAAACACAACCTAAGAATTGAAAATTACAGAGAATTAAAAAATACACACTGAGAATTGAAAATTACACAATAGAGATTTCAAAAAGAAACACTGAGATGAAATAAACTGAAAAACACACACTGAGAATTTGAAATTACACGTTGAGATTTGTGCGCACTTTTATGCGCACATATCTAATTAGCATACTTATCTGAATCTATTACAAGCTTAAAACAACTAGGGGACAGAACTCGTTTGTCCTTCAATTTGGTGCTAAATGTTTTATAAAAAAAAAACATTAAAAATACAACGTATAGAAAAATTACGTTATTAAAGACCAATAGAACAAGAAAAATACCCACTTACTCTTCTTACAAAATATAACCAAATGGTGAAAAACTTTATTAAAATTATATAAGAAAACATTGGAACAATCTGCAAAAATACAAACAATGCAGTGAATTTTTTTCCCAAGTGCCTATTACAGCATATATACGTAACAAAATTATAAATGATTACCTTACAAATCAGTAACAGTTGAAAGAATATTGAAAAGGGACCATGCTTAAACAGTTTTAAGCAAAAAATCCCGATTATAGTAATAATCTGAATTATAGGCCACACACTTATGAATATGAGTTATCAAAAAAGGTTGTTAAGTCTTGAAATTTATTACGAATGTTGGTTGTAGGAACCGCATTTCATTATAATGACAAGAGTTCGGGAGACCAAGATATTAATCTGTTGAATTATTCATCTCATGAATATTCATTAGTAATTTGCATGGTTATCTCAGTGTGTATTTTTTAAATCTCATTGTGTAATTAACAATTCTCAGTGTGTGTTTCATCTGAGATGGCATATTTTGGTATTAATATTGATTCACTCTTAGGGTCTTTGCATCGGAAATAAAACATTTATTCTAAAATCAGTTGTTGGCATGATACGGGTTATGTTCTTACGGGAGGGATTGTGCTTGATTTTCATATAAAGAAGACATATAATCTTTCAATCAGTTTAATTGAGGTCTGGAGCTGGCATGTCAGTAACTGCTAGTAGTCCTTTGTTAATTTATGCATCATTGTCATTTTGCTTAGTTTCTTTTGTTACCTATTCTGACAACGGACTCGGATTTCTTTGAAACTGAGGTTTACTGTGCGCATTGCTGTGTGTTTGTTTATTCTACATTGGCTAGAGGTATAGGGGAGGATTGAGATCTCACAAAACATGTTTAGCCCCGCCGCAATTTTGCTCTTGTCCCAAGTCAGGAGCCTCTGGCCTTTGTTAGTCTTGTATGTTTTTTAGTTTAGTGTGACGTCCATTTTCACCGAACTAGTACACATTTTTCTTTATGGGCCAGCTGAAGCTGGCCTCCGGGTGCGGGATTTTCTCGCTGTTTTGAAGACCCATTGGTGGCCTTTGGCTGTTTTCTGCTCTTTGGTCGGGTTGTTGTCTCTTTGACACATTCCCCATATCCATTCTCAATTTTATTTGATAATATGGTTTTACCTATTCTCTTGTAACATTTTAAAAACTACTGTGTGTGCTTATGCATTATACTTTATGACTGCAAATCAAAAGATTTTTTTTATGTTGATTGACACAAGACTGACATGCTGCTCAATCACGACTTTGATTTTGTTATGTCCCATCGACGATATAAGATGGTCATTATATTTAAAAAGTCTTTGCGTCCGTCCATCCGTCCGTCTCTTTTTAGGATAAATGTTTTGGTCATAGT